CCACGGAGTGTCTCCATAATTTTATCGTTGCATGAGGGCTTCCATTCAAAAGATGCGATTTGTATTCGTTAAACCATCGAGAAGGAATTGATACATTTAAAGTTCTACTTTATTTACAGAAATATGGACAGAAAGCATGCATTGTCCTCATAGGATTATTATTTGCTTATTATTGGGTCCAATGGGGCTAGGAACCAGACATAATTTGTTAATAATCCTGTAATACATGAAGTCATGCAAGAATTAGATATATTTTTGTTTATGTTACGTTATTTTACTGATTTTTACAAATTTACTGATTTGGTAATAGCGACACCATTTCCGTTGACATGCCTACCGAAAAACCTAATCAATGAAGTTACACCTTTGGAATTAAAATATTAAGAGGCGAATTGATTTCTTACTACATTCGAAATAATTTCAATTTATTCGGCTAGGATGATAAGATGACGCTTTGAAGAAACTCTTTAATGTTCAAGCGAGTGGAAAAATGCCGCTCTCTTCTATCACAATAAATGTTCCTATTAAACACAGCCCATCTCGTCGCGGCTTCTCTTAAAACTCCCCGTTACCCTATCGTCACTTTCGCTCCATTGATCTTGCGTCTTAAAGCTTCCTGAAGGACTTCAAAATAGGCGGTTATCTCCGAACAGGCATTAGAGTGAAAAACATCGCTTCAATAACCCTCATCGTGCGGCTTATACCATACGTTATCGAAGTTCAGCCCTTAAAGCCATCTGAAAGAAAGGACCGGCAAGGAATTGCTCCCTAAGCTGTCGGGTGATCGTTAGTCGGAGCCTCAGGTCTCGTAATACCTGTTATGAGAACGATCAGATGCTTGACGCATGGCTCCTCCATGACTAGTATAGGAAAATTCTCTCTCTCTTACTCGAATAAATGTTAACATGCGAAGCGCGTGAGACTGACGGCTCATAACAATTGTTTCTAAAATATTAGTATATTGTCCAAATTGCCTATGAAATATTAGAGGTGATGAATAATTTTTAAAATAACCGAACGAAAATTTGGTGGGATTTTATTATTTATTTTGTTGATGTAACGAAATGGAACACTTTGGGTCTTTCAAGTGCGGAATTATTGAGTCTTGCAGTCCCCTAAATCACGAAGTTTCGGTTTATAATCATTGAAATTACTGGAGCTGCATTCGTAATAATTGAATAAAAAAAATGAATCGGCCAGGCAACGCTGAAACTAAATTCACAAAAAAACACGTCAACATATTCAACTCATTATTGGACTGCAAAGCAGGAGGTAAATAAGAAGTGAGGTAGAAGCGCATCTAATGAAAAACGACAAATGAAGATGAAGTTGTCGATGTCAACGTCATCTTATTGGCCGTTTCAAATAGGAGTAGATAAATCTGTAAGGAAATTTTACATGCTCACAAAAAACAATTCTATTTGTATCATTATTATCAAAACTGATCAAATAGTTTTACAGCTAAAAATTGCTGTACCAGCTAACCTAAGTACAAAACTATCCAACACATTCAACAAATGCGTGCAAAAAAAATGCGGATGACTTGCTCATAATACATTGCAGCAGGCATTCGCTGGTTGAATCGACGTTGAAACAACTACTAATTATGACGTAGGGATCACGTTAAAAAAAAGTTGAGAATGAAAATTCAAGTAACGTCATTCACGAAACGCCGAACTGACGTCAAAATGCAACGCAGTACAACGTCAATGTTGCTACTGCGACGTAACTGCAACGTCAAATTCTCTGGTTAAATGAACGTTGAAGAGCCAACCTTTTACAATGTTGGGTAGCCGCCTCCCAACCTAAATTTGCCTGTAAATGATTTTTAACGCTTTACTCTTTCGCAACGGAATTAGTTGCATATTTACACTCCTACACATGTATTTATTGCACAATTAATTCGACCGACATCATTATATTAAACTCATTGCGCTCACAACTGTCGAGCTGGTTGAAGAAACTAGTAAGACAGCTGCGCGGGCAGCTGCCTTATACTCAACTCAGCCACGAAGACGGCGATTGAATATTGAACAGAAGAAAAAATATAACTCAGTACTCACTGCAGTGAGTGTCAGAGAGCGCATTTTCTCGTCGACGAAAACGTGGTCACGGACAGACAGACAGACAGACGGACGGACATGATTAGAAAAATAACGTCATTTTTTCCATAAATGAGAAAATGCGCTAAAAATATCTATTCTACTGCACTGCCGATAGTGGAATGTTAAATCAGGACGACAGCTAACCCAGCTAATAAGAGAGTGCGTGGAACAGAATAAAGAAGTGCAAGACGTCGTCATAGCGCGGCCTTGACACTAAGTAGAATAAGGCGAGTATGTAAAGCAGAAGCCGCCCTAACGCCGCTAATGAAGCGATGGCGAGCAGATTTAATAACATCTCCCCAGTTCACGGCTATTATCCTGATGGATTGCAGCGCCTCTGCAGAGCCTCGCAAGAATCTAACGTTCAATCTTTTCTGGCCCTTACGCGTTTAATCGATACAGAGACGTTGCTGTTACGTTGATCATTCGTCATCTTTAAGAACAGTTATTGTCTGGCGCGAACATTATGTAATGAATTTTTATTTCGTCTTTTATTCCTTTAACAATGCATATTTTTCATTCTGTATTTGTATTTTACATTCCATGTTAGCTGCATCTACCTTAATTTATATCGTCAAGCACTATTTTTACCTCAAAGGAATTCTGTATCAAGTAATTTAAGTCGAATACAGTGTTAATTCTAATCAAGTTTAACGAAAGGCGCGAAGTTGAAAATAAGGTTCAAGTTAGAAGTAAAACGATAACAAAATTTTACCTCTTGAATATTCCAGGCGTTTTGTTGCTACATTTTGCTCGTTTTAGGCATATACCAGAAGATTTATTTAACTTAATTTGACTACAGCAATAATTGCGGTAAACACATGTCATTAATAATTGTTGTAGTGGTTCTGGCCACAGTTTTACTTGTTCACTTGACGACACTCTGATTTATTTATTTTCCTTATCTAAAATAAATTGCCTATCCAAATATACAGAAGACCTTGACCAATTGTCATTGCACCCCAGCAAAAACAATAACTTGAGCGCGGCGTTCGTGAAATAGGTAATTGCTGGAGTCAAACGAAAACATTAAATAATGTTCAAGAGCATTGTTCCAAATTAGTTTGCAGGATCTCACTAGATTAAAAATTGCGAAATTCCAAGAAAATATTTATTTTTTGACATAATAAACTGATGATATTGAAAAAAGAATGATATTGAGAATTGGAGCCCGTTTAACTTTCGTATAGGCTCGCTACGTTTCAATAAGATGATCCAACGAGAGAGCGCAGCTAGGCTGTTGTAGATAGGGTCATGACAGCGCATAACGTTTATCTCAGGAGCTCGATAACTACAAGAAGAGTTCAATTTGGACAGCAAAACCGTCGCCAGACCTTCAGGGGCAAACCCGCTGCTGCATGAGCAGAATTTCTGGACACCAAAATCTTGGTGCGGGCAAAGCGACGCTTATTGAGAACACAATGGTCGGCTGTGGTGGAGAACGCCTGGATAAATGCAAACATTGGGCAGTAGCAGGACCAAATTATATGCGCCACGCTGAACACGTTTACGTCGCGAGCGTCTGAATTAAATGTTTGTGGTGCGCGTTTGTGCCTCGGTTAAAGACATGTATGAGCGTATGTGTTTGTTATTAACACACACTATTAAACTATTAAAGGATTTATAACAATTATTTGTTCTCAGGATATTGAAAAAAACATTGTGCCCTCATTCAAACATCTGATATACTGACCGAGCTATGCCATTTTTATTAGACAAGATAAATTTTTTATCTTGCCTAATAATTTATTTTATTATTATTATTTTCAAACATTCCTCCCAAATCGTAGTTTCGTAGTTGCAGCCGGTAGTAGTGGACCTGGTCGAGGGTTGTTTTAAAGTCCAAACAAATACACTATAAACTTTTTCCAATATCTCATATTATATTAAAATTTTAAACAATCCGAGTCTGTGTTGTGACTTGTGAGTCGGAAAAATTTGTTTTACAAATTCTTTTTCTCATCTAAAATCTGCTCTTTTCTTAGATGATTAGATTCTTCTAAAATCTGCTATTTTTTATTTTTCTTAAAATCTTTCTCTTCTAAAATCTGCTCGTAGACTTTAATATATTAATAGACTAATGTGGGAACCAGCGTTAAAATTGTAGCACCATTAAAACTAAAAATAAAATTGGAGTTCGCTTCAATATATTCTAGAACAGTTAACATTAAAGAATTTTTACGCGCAGCGTTCAATGTATGTTTTTTTTCTACTCGTAATCCTGTTTCAACATTTCCCTACACGAGAAATAAATACTAGAACATCTCAGCAGGATGCATCTATACTAGGGAAGTCAGCTGTCAAATGCGGGATTAGAAGCCAAAAAGTGAATTTAATAATACTTTAATTAATTAATAGGTAATAATACGGCAATATACAGCCAAGAAATTCCCAATGTACACCAAAATAACTTCTTCATTCCACAACATCGATTAGAATACATAGGAATAAAAAGGAAGAAATTTCCTTTACTTTTCCCGTTGTTAATTATAATGAAGAATTAGCAATATTATCATTCTAAAATAAAGTAGCTTGTATATTTGGGGATCTTAGCAAAATCCTCTACTGAGAATATAAATTATGTAAATTTATTTATAATTAATTGAATGAATCATAAAAGAGACTCTTCAAAATTGAAGCAAACTGTTGGTGCAATATTACGTTTCAGAAAATTAAATAAACTCAGTTTTTGACCATTTATCATTAACGTCCAAAAGAAGTACCAAAAATATGTTTGGTACTTTTTTGGCTAATGATATGCTTGTCTATAAGAATATTTTATGGTAAAGGGTTGCTTGGTTTTCAGTTTTCAGGATAGTTTTTTAAATTACCAATTTTTCGCAGATAAAATAGAGTTAAATGTTTGGTGCATAAAGTAAAGTTACTGCAACCAACCTCCAGTGCCCAGGTCGAGCAGCGGTACGTGTACCGGTGGGTAGGTGCCGCCCGTAGCGTTGGTGCCCAGCCGCTGCAGCGTAGCCATTACACCTGCGTTCAGCACCGATATTCCGCCCACCTAGGGGAGGTATGAGGTATATGATGAGTTGATATGAAGAGTTGATATGATGAGTTGATATGATGAGTTGATATGATGAGTTGATATGGTGAGTTGATATGATGAGTTGTTATGATGAGTTGATATGATGAGTTGATATGATGAGTTGATATGATAAGTTGATATGATGAGTTGATATGATAAGTTGATGTGATAAGTTGATATCAGGGTTGCCAGATATGGCCCGAAAAACAGTTACGTATGTCCGCAGACGATAAAAGTTATAACAAGGCCTATAATTTAACATTTTCTAGTAAATTTATTAGTTGCACAAATTCAATATTAATATTTTTTGTACTATTTAAATTCAATAAGGAAGTAGCGCTATCCTAGATTTTTGCCAGCAACGCAATTGAAAAAAAAAATAAATCGCGGAATTAATCCTGAAGAAAAGACTATCTGGAAACCTTGGTTGATATGAAAAATATGATAAATTGAAGAAAAATATTAGATAATTATTTAATGTTCGATACTTGTGTTTTAGAGAAATGATGAGTAAAATAAAATATATATTTTTTATTTTTGGTAATTGCTTCGCTGTACAACTAATTTTTTATTCAAAGCGGCGATTGTAAAGATTCAATCTTCAATGTCTAATTGCCAGTAGCATACCAAATCCTTAAACTTAAATCCGAAGAAATATTCAATGAATTTATTTGATATTAATAAACCTATATTTGCAACTTTGTTCATCAAATCCAAAATACTCCTATCAATCCATGGAATATGAAGTTATCATATCTTCAGTAAGCGTTGAAATGAATAAAGCCTTAATCCATGGACTTCTGTTGAAATATTCGTTAATACTCGGAATGAAGGAATAGTGCACATGCAATGGTAAATATCATTTATCAAAAATTTTCTGCCAAAAATCGAGGTTTTATTAAAAAAAACTTTATCCCCCATATCTTCCTGATAACAGTACATTTACACTAATTAACATTTTATCTACAGTGAACATTTTACCAGCAGAGACTACCGTCAATATAGATAATTATCTTCGTTATATTACATATATTACGATTTTCGTCCGCATCAAGTTATACATAATACATATATTTAATAAAATAATTGAAATTAATATATTCAGTTCTAATTCCTACAAAATTAATAATTCAGTTCATTACTCATAAAATTCTCGCAGTTGGTTATCGTTGAAATTATTGAATTTCCAGTCGAAAAACTTAGTGCGTATAAAATTAATTTATCGTTGCTGGTGGGAAATTTGATCAAAAATAAAGCAAAGCCGTCTTCATCAGCGCATTGTTTAGCCAGGTGATCGTATATATTGGGTCCCATGAACTGCAGCTAATAAGTAAGATCTTTTCTTGCGTATATTTTTTGGCGAGTGAAAATAACTCAGAGAACTCAAGGAAACTCAAGGCTCAAGAATCGACAAATTCCCTTATTCTTATCTACACGATGTCGTACCTTACATATCGACGGAACCTACAAAACTAAACGTGCGTTGCTAATTCGGCTAATGTCACGTCCATCTTGCTATAACATAAAGTGAAATATGTACATAATCTGTTCTATCCCAGACATCGCGATATGTAAAAAATTTAACTCACTACTCACTGCAGTGAGTGACAGAGAGCGCATTTTCTCGTCGACGAAAACGCGAAGTCACGGACAGACAGACGGACGGACAGACGGACATGGCGAGCACAATAGTGTATTTTTTCCATAAATGAGAAAATGCGCTAAAAAGTACGAAAGTTATTACCGCAATTAAAGTATTGAAATTCTAATATCTTATTCTAGCGAAAATTTTAAACTGTCATGACTACTGAATGCCATCCTTGCAAATACCTGATAATCTTCCTTAAAGATTCGCGTATCATCAGAACTAAGAGACACATCTTGATCTGTTGAACTTATCAATCATTAGTACCTAGGTATAACAATCTTGGGTGTCTTGAGCATAATTATACATCTCAGAATTGGAATCATTATCTTTAACTAATTCTGTCACTCACTGTTGTTTTCTACGACTCACGATGATTTAACTGATTTATTGTAAATCTTATTATAATAATGGTCCTCGCCAGGCTTACGATGATGGAAAACCTTACAATTTACTTATCAGATAATTAGGGTGACGTTACAATTGTCTTTCCCTCATATTAACCTTTCGCACCCCTGAAGGAACAGGGCTGGCAATTAACAATTGCACTACAGGAATAGGGTTGACAGGGTTATCAATCGCACTACAGGAATAGGGTTGACAGTTAACATTTGCGCTTCAGGAATAGGGTTGGCAATTAACAATTGCGCTACAGAAATAAGGTTGACAATTAACAATTACATTACAGGAATAGGGTTGACAATTACACTACAGGAATAGGGTTGACAATTAATAATTACGCTATAGGATAGGGTTGACAATTGCACTACAAGAATAGGGTCGACAGGGTTGACAATTGCACTGAAGAGAGCACCCCTAGCAAGCCCCGTACGCTCAGTATGTCATCATACCGCCAAGCTTCGCCGTGTTTTATTTTCTCAGGGCGTGGCTCTAATATACTAATGCGGTGTGCTGTTGTGGCACCAGCAGCAGCGAGATACGGAAAGAAGTGCACTCCAGAAGACATTAAAAGTGGCGGTTGGTCTAGATCCTAGTCGTTCAATCAGTTAAATTTTTACTTAGATGGTAATTGTGGAGAAATAAAGGTAATAATCAATTTATATATCGTCATCAGACAACACTGTTAGAAAATTTCCCGTTAACGGTATTACCGGCGTTTCAGTGGCCGGTCGGCACGTGAAAAGAAACGCCATGTCGCCGTTTTTATTCTAATTTAACACTAGAAATCCGTGAAACATCTGATAAAAACGGCGAAACAGTTTATTTTCACGGGGCGACCGGCCACTAGAATGCCAGGGGGACCGTTTTTTCACCGTTTTTTCTAACAGTGAAGTAAGCGAGAACACATTATAGTAGAACCAAATGCACGGAAAAACGGCCGGCCATCTTATTTCCGTGGGAAGAGGTTCAAACAACCAGGTAAATTTATTGGAGAATTAACTAGAATTAATCTTAGAATTAAAAACAGATATTTAATTTGGGTGAAAGAAGTCCCTGGACGAAAATTTAGACGCACAATGCAGCCTGATTTTCAAAGGTATCGCTGCAAGGCATAACATTGAAGTTCTACAGCCCCCAAAACACTGCAAACGTTTTTTTCGCATAATTTCGCTTATTTATACATAGGGCATAATATTCGCAACAATTTCTATGAAATTTTGAAGTTTAGGTAACGCATATCATTAGACTTCGATTTTGTACTTATATAATGATTGCTATTTTAACACGCTGAAAAAATTGAAAATCAGGCGACTTAATGAAAACGATTCAAAGAAGTATTGTTCATATAATATTCTTAAACAAATAACAATCCAAACTATAAATTAAGTAAAACTAAAAGACCTCGTTCAACAAACTAATCATTACCTCAATCAAACTTTTTCGAAATACTTTTCACCAGAAAAGAAGTTTTCAGGTCGTCGTCAAGAAAGTTATTTTCCGTCATCACCTGACATCACAAAATTTAGCCAATAGAACCGAGGATCGAACGATTCCTGCTGCAACTTCTCTTTCTTTAAAGTCAGCGACGTTAAAAAACAGCGGATGGATACATGCATGGCAATCTATATAGAAACCTCCCTGCGTAATATTTAAAAATTTTAGAATCAATAAACAATATGTTTTCTGATTTCATTGCGCTAATTTTTTTCTCTAAATTTCTGATGTCGATCTGTGCACAACGTTTCTGCACGATTTACGCTAACATATACGACCAGGGCCTATACTTTCAAAAAAAGGTAAGAGATCGTGAATTCATCAGCCAATCATTGACGGCCTTTCAAGCAAAATCCACCAATCATAGACAAGAAAATAGAGCGTGGGTATATACGTTCACTTAGCGAGTTTTGAAAGCATGGCCCCTAAATTTTACAATCACAAGCTTTAAACTTATCTCAGTTTTACGCAGTTTCTTGACTCAAGCCTACACATAAATTATTTTGCAATTTCAGAAACAACTTAGAGGAAATCCGTATTCGCAGTGATAGAAGGAAAGCAGGATTCAGACTAAACCCAATTACTAATTGATTTGACTCAAATATATAATTTATTAATATATCTATGCAATTAGTAAGATAAACAGTTGAGTGCTCCCTCTAAGAATTCAAAAACTCATAGAATAATTCGAAGTTATAGTAATAATATTAAATGATGACATAATGGTGGAGCCATGAGAAACTGGTAACCTCGCTAATTTACACAAGATTTTTCACCACTAGTTGCAGGTTTTGAACCCCCAACTTGCTGCTCTTACTTTGGCTTGCCTAGATTATTTATGAATGAGAGTCTTGATACATTTTTGCACAAATAAATTTTTGGCTGCGAATTATTTTCATCATTAATGAAAATTATATGAATACAATGATATGAATTAATTTAATTCACAATTTTTAAGTTTGGGATTTTTAAGGCAAGTCAGTTAGAAACTAACATCTTTCTTTCGGCAGTGACTAGAAACTCGTGTGGCGGGTTGAAAATAAATTTAAAAACAACATTGCTCGTATTGAAATTATTTTTTGTGGATTATTAATTATTCTCGCATTTGGCTTTCTATTTTGTAATTGTGGATATAAACATTAATTTATAATTTAATCTATGATAGTTAATGAGTACTTTCGATGTGTTTAGCTGAATAATGATTTATGAATGAGAGTCATTTTTACACAAATAAATTTTTGGTTGCTAATTATTTTCATCATTAATGAAAATGAATCAACTGAATACGTGACAATAGAAGTAACGTTGATTGCAACAGTTTATTCACATTAAAACTTTATATGATACGTAAAATCGCTATCTTAAATTTATTGGAAATCGTAACGAGAATTAAGTTGATTGAGTGATCAATTTCATTTCGTAAATATCCGTCTTC